TATTGTGTCGGAATTTTCAAAAACGCCTCTAGTAATTGTGATTATTTTTTTATAACAAAAAACTCAATGATTAAAAGTTTTTTGTTATAAAAAGTAGGAATTTAGTAGCACCCAACGCTACCGAGTTGAGTGTATTTATTTACCTATTATTGAGTAAGACAGTCCCATAAAATAAGATTGTCAGACATCATCAATTAGGAAAACCTTATTCGTAATTGTTGTCACTATGTGCAAGCCTAATAATACATTTTAAAGCATAAATAGTTTATCAATGCCCTACAGATTGAATTTTCCTGTACTTGTTATTGTAAGCGTTTGCTTCAATTAACTACCACACAGCAGTAGCCCAGAGAATCACATAAGTGGCGTACGTTTCCTTAGCCAACCTTCGGCCTGCAGTGCCTTATGGCATCCCAGTTCTTGGAGATCCTTTTACTTTACTACTTCGGAAGCCGAAACCCTCGGCCACATAGTTACCCAACCTACATGTTCCCCTCAATTAGCATGGCTGACATACTGGTAACATTCCACCTCTTGTAGGAGGCATCTCTGTGTCAGGTTACTGCCATCGTCTAATAGGGGAGAAAACTTATCTGACATATAACTAAAACAATAATTTTATAAGCCGTATCTTAGATACTTCGCGAGATAAAATACGTCCAGATTTGAACACTTTTCTTTTCTGTAAAATTTTCGTTTGTAAAATTAGCTTGTGATATTAACTTCTCGCTACTGCCTCAACCACTACCGGGATGAAATGTACTAGTTGCTGCTGATTATTGTGTCTATGCCGGTGGGATACGCTCCGTGTGAGACCAATTATTGGTGCTACGAAAAACAAGTGAAAAAGCGGATCAAACAACTCAGCTCTTCCACATAATCTGTTTAAATCAATATTAATTTGAGTCAGCACCAAGAAGTCAACCGGAGCGAATTTGTCCAACATTCAGTAGACCGTCAGGAGCCTCCTGGTGTCGTGCAACATTCCATAAATAGAAGTTCTCACTTTGATTAGCTTTATTTTGGTGGTAATAATTGATGACGAATAGCTATTGCCACTTGTGAAGTAATTCCATTAAAACACATGATTATTATAGGATAATAGAAGCATATACTACTGTATAAACTGATTCATTGTATTACAATGTTCCCTTACTAAGTGTTGTGGATATTAAATAATAGTGATTCTATGTTATAATACTTTAGTTGTAACAGACTAGTAATATAAATAATTACTGGCTTCATTAATATTCATAGCAGATTTTATTTTTATTTAGGTATGTGAGCATTTGATCGCACGGGTAGACAGACATCGGGGGTATTATCCTGGTGATGTTTCAGCAGTACATATCGTGATAGAACCATCGCGTGTGAATTACAATTTTTTGGAAACTCACTAAGTCCCAAAACTTCCGGTGCATTATATCTATCACGGAAGAGTCAGCTGTTACTTTTGCTTATGGTGTTGTTAACAGTGATCGTTTTTATCAACTACCAGTCGCATGTCTTTCCAGCAAGACCTTCTCCTAAGATATAGACATGTTTCCATGAATTGCTGATTTCACTATTTATTACTACTTGTGACGAGTTTGTCTCTCCTAAATTCTCCACCGCTTGCGGTCTCAGTGTTTTCCCCAGCAAGTAATAACCTTGAAGGGGGGATAAAGCAATCGACAATAAAGGAGGCATCGTTGGTACTCGACTACAACCAGGAATCAAATTATGTTTTAAGAAACGCTGAAAAGATGGGTGAAAAGGAAACTCATTCGGATGAGACGAATCATTTCACTCATTCACGTTTACTCAATGAGTCAACAACTAAGAAACATACTGAGAAGTGGACACAAAAGGATCAGAGTTTAGCGTTATTGAATTCCGGGGCTCAGAAAAAGATTGTTCTTAATGCGAAGTAATTAAAGCTGAGGCAAAATGAAACCTCTTCGTTCATTTTTTCGGGTGGAACAACAATAACGAATAGATGCTATGTTAACGATTCTCAAGCCCTATCTTTTTATGCCAACTTTTCATGCTACCTCTGCTTCAGTTATCGACACTCCCTTTCACGAATAGCTCTCGGTGCCTCCGAAAAACTACACAGGTTTTCTTAAAAAGTACAGCTTACCAATTTTGTATTTGATTATTACAAAAAATAAAGCCTCAATGCCAACCTTTCATTAAAGAAAATTATAGATAAGCTACCTAGCAATGCTCAAGCACGTAACCCTCGATACCTTATTCGGCAGCTATTTTAATATTAATACTCTATAATACAACAAATCGACACAGTCAGACCATTTAACCTGTTATCTTGGGACGCAACGTTGGCGGTCACCGTAAACCTATTGATCATGGGCCCGTTACTTGACATTAACGAGGAGGGAATATACATACATAATTACTATATAGCAGGTAAATTGAGATTAACAACGTCTACAAATATTAAAGTTATATTAGGGTTGGTCCTCAAGCAAACGCATGTAACAATATTTCACTATGAAGAAGAACGGAGATGCATGCGTGCGATAATAAACAAAAAAACCTGATTTTTTTTATTCCGGCAAGTCGTACAAATAAGTATATTACTAATGAATTATATTTATGTATATAAATATATATATACACATACCCGCTCTATGTACGCTGATTAATATTTGTATGGTCCAACAGCGTAGTGTTTTCTCTCGTAGCACCCGTGTATATCTCGATTAAAGTGTCGCCAACAACCGACGCGCCATTTAGCGAATTCGAATTTGCTCGTGCCAGGGTACATGGAGCACTCGTGTTCTCAATAATTAGTATGTGGACGAAAACATAAACTCTTCTCAGTTCACTTTAATCTGCGGGGAGTTAGGAGAAACCAAAACGGAAAAGCACCGACAAAACCGACAAGTGGCAATGATTTGTGACAAAAAGGATAAAACTAAAATATGGTAGTAATACTTGTACCGGTTAACCGTTAAATATACTTAGAAAAAAATTAAAGACACTAGGCCAGCAAAAACCCAAGACTGAGCCCCACTCAAGCTGTTGTCACCACTAACCTAATTGCACGATTCAATCGTTTCGTGCGATTTGTATATGGCGATATCCAATGTGGGCCAATATGGTGTTGATTTTTCTTTGATATTTATTTTCCATATATTTTTAACTATTTCTACAACTAGTATTTTTATTATTATTATTATTATTATTATTATTATTACTGTAACCTATAAGTTACAATATTATGTTGCAATATTATTTCGATCATCATTATTATTATTTAATTATATTTGTTGCTATTACTGTACAGAATTAATACAGATGGTCACCTCAGCTGTCTCATTCATTGAGGTAAATGAACTTGTAGAAAATATTGACTTGTGCATTGTAGGTTCATCTACAGATTGTTATGCTCTTTCGATCGCTTCGTAATTATTAGTTTAGTAATAACTTAATATTCTACCAAATCAGTACCGACGTACAATACCAGTCAGCCACAATTCCGGCTTTTTACTAAATTCATAGTGTTACGTTATGATAATGTTGAGGAGAGAAGAGGAACAAATGCGCGAATGTGCCAGGCTCAGAAAAAGCTTTTCTAATGAACAAAAAGAGGCGCTCTTATGTTATCGATCGCTTGAAACCCGAATATTCTATCTAAGGAAGCAAATGGTCTGTGGCAATTTGAATCAAGGCGACTGTCAGGTGTCCACGACGTAACGGTTACGAATGCATCGTAAACATGATCCATTATACAACGCCTCGAACAAATACATCCACTACAGTGACGAGCCAAATAGTGAAGACAGACGCGAGACATTGCAGTTAATGGAGAGAGATCGTCGCTGTTGACGGGTTTAACTAAATTTCTAATCACCACGTATGTGCCGCCGCAAACATGACATGCGCGGTCAATCAGTCGCTCGCAGTAGTTGGGAGAGGTCGGAAGCGTGTCAGCATGAATAGTTGTTGACAACACTCGAACTGTAACTTCGAGCATATATATATTCTACTACCCATAATAAACATGTGTGTAGGTATGTACGGATGTGTGGATAGTTCTAAAAAAATGCTGGTGTTGTATGCGAAAACTGACCCAAGTACGCTGACAGAGAGAAAGAAAGAGACGGGCTCTCTCAGCGATTTCTATGCAGGCATCGAGTATCGGCGCCTCGTCGATTTGTGTAATGTTTGCGTTTGTTTGTTGTTATTGTTATTATTACTTATACATTCTGTGCGTGAGAATTTGTGGACACGTCCCCTTTATGGGTTCCATCTCCACCGACATCAACTCGCCTGCTTTTGAATCTATAACAGCTTTCAGTACTGCCTCAAATTATGCTTATTAGCTTCCGTCTCTACTCTACAATATTATTAGGATTTCTAGTCACTATCAAAGTACGGCGTACACTAGCAGACATCAATGGCAATATAGCAGCATGCGCGACATTAGGCCATCATCACATGCGACTAGATAACTTTGACCTGTGGCTCCATTGAGTCGTCAAGTGTTACCATCACCATCGCTGCTATATTGACGTTATGATGTTTGCTACCGTGTACATAAAAGGAAATCATTGTATTTCCGAGTTATTGTTTATACCGAATGTTCACCATTATCACCGCGATCATGCTGATAATACAATCACTTTACCGTCGTTCATTAGCAAGTTTTACTAACTTAATGACACAATTGTCACTCTTTTTAACGAACCTCGCTTACGTTTATCTGGACTATCGGTGTAATTTTTATGGCCCTAAAAAATTACCCAAAATGTTACATCTGTTTTTTACGTTCCCCCAGTATCATTACAGTTGCTCACGTTGATCTTATTTAGTGACAATACTTCCGCTAGTGCTCTGTACGCGACCGTGTGATCGCTCATTGGTAACATCGATTGTTGCACAAACCTTCGCAAACCTCCATTGCAAGAAAATTCTAGACAGACTTTAAAGGGCTCAGATCTTTCCGCACCCCACTTCCATGATACGACCCAGGCGCTCAGACATTTAATCCAGACTTCTCTCTGCCTCGACCTTCCACGATAATAACATCGTAAACCATACTCAAGATTACATAAGAAGCCACACAAAATGTCTACACATAGCAACCATTTCATTTCCTCTCAGCTGTGCCCTCGTTTCTGTCCATTTCGTTAATTAGCTCCTGTGTGCGTAATACAAAAAAGTCTCGCCTATCCTAATATCTGCCTCTTTCTTTGCTATCGACTCAGCGAAAAGACACAACACGCTACCGTTGACAATCGGATATGAAGCTATGTACAGGACAGATCCTTTTGGATGGACGACAGCTTGAGTCGGTGAAACCGTGCGGTTCTTAAGCCAACAATGATGTTCCCAACGCCGGACATCTGTAACAAGCCTTCTCTGAAGGAGGCCCGCAGCAGCAGATTGATGCGGCTATAATCTCATGCAACGCTGCACACCATAGCCCATGCCGTAATTGTACACCGTAGCCCATCGTTAACAAGTGGGTGGATCCCACGTGTGTCCCGAGGCGCGTTATTCTCTCGACATTAACCAGATGAGATTTCACTCGATTTCGTACCGCCGTTGCCCCCCGCCCCCGCGCTTATAAAGTATGATGGTGCTGAAAAGAAGGGCATGGTTGCCTAAACACAAATCAAATTGGTATTCTAATAATGCTCATTACTATCCCTAAGACTTCAACAGATTGTATTATTATTATTATTATTATTAATGGAATAATAGTGTACGAAAAAAGCACTGCTGCGCATTCATGCAGCCCAGCGGTTAGGGTATCTCTATTTGTTTTTTACCTCAGGGCAATAGAGAACGACTGAAGCGGCGTCATTTTTTCCTGCTCTTATTGTTGTCGGTTTCCCGTTCCCGCGCGGAAATGAACAGCGGTAGCACATTTTTTTTTCTGTATGTACATACACATACGGAGCAGCTGGTCGTCGCTACTGCGCTTGTCAAGCCGCCTACGTACATATCATGTTTAGTGAACTCTCTCAGCGATACTGGAACGCTGAATGTTCATTCCATTTTGTGCATCGTAATAGTACAATAATAATAATAGTTTATATATAT